AAATTGATATACAAGAAGCAAGAAGACACCAAACTTCACGACGAAAGGAAAACACAGCAAGACACATAATAGTAAAGCTCCCAAGAATCCAGGACAAGGAAAAATAATGAAGCTGACAAGAGGGAAGAAACAGATAACATTCAAAGGAAAACCAATCAGGCTGACATCAGACTTCTCTGAAGAAACACTACGGGCAAGGAGAGAGTGGAGGGACATAGTCAACAGACTCCAAGAAACAGATGCCAACCAAGAATACTCTATCCCGCAAAGCTCTCTTTCCTCCATGAAGAAAGAATATGGACCTTCCCAGACAAAGAGAAACTCCGGAATTTCATTGCGACTAAACCCCCACTCCAAAAAATACTACAAGGAATCCTAAAGCCAGAACCTCAGAGGGACGAATAACAACGAAGAAGACCAAAAAAAAAAAAAAAAAAGTTATTAAAAGAATAATAAATAAAATCAAAGGAAAGACAAACATAATGGCAAATACAGATGCTAACATATCAATATTAACTCTAAATGTAAATGGACTAAACTCTTCAATAAAAAGACACAGAGTTTGCAGCCTGGATAAGAAACAAAACCCACCTTTTGCTGTCTCCAGGAAACACATTTAGCTACAAAGATAAAAATAGGCTCAAAGTCAAAGGATGGAAAACAATCCTGACAAGCAAATGGGCCAAAAAGAAAGCAGGACAGCTGTACTTATATCAGATAAAACAGACTTCAAACTCAAAAAAATAAAAAGAGACCCCAATGGTCACTACATTATATTAAGGGGACAATACTTTCAAGAAGAAATAACACTCATTAACATATACTCACCAACGAAAGAGCACCAAAATATATCAGACAACTGTTGTCCTCTCTGAAAACAGACATCAGAGAAAACACATATGTAGTGGGAGACTTCAACACACCACTATCAACAATGGATAGATCACAAGACAAAAAATAAGTAAAGAACTAAAGCTCTAAATAAGGACCTAGAGCATTTGGGCTTAACAGACATCTATAGAACACTAAACCCAAAAAAAACGGAGTACACATTTTTCTCAAGCGCACACGGATCATTCTCCAGGATCGATCACATACTGGGGCACAAGACAAACATCAACAGATACAACAAGATTGAAATCATACCACCATCTTTTTCTGACCACGAAGGCATCAAACTAGAAATAAATCATAAAAAGAAGGCAGGAACTACCTCCTAACCTCATGGAGATTAAAAGCCACATACTGGAAGACCACTGGACTAACGAGGAGATCAAAGAAGAAATTAAAAAATTCTTTGAATTGAATGACAAGGAGGACACCAATATCCTAATGTATGGGATGCAGCAAAAGCAGTAATAAGAGGAAAATATAGCAATAGAAGCTCACATCAAAAAACAAGAAAGAACTCAAAGAAAACAACCTAATCTCGAAGCTCAAGATCTAGAAAAAGAACAAACAAAAACCCAGAACCAGTAGAAGAAAAGAATAATAAAAACCAAAGCAGAAATAAATGAAATTGAAACTAAAAAAAAATCCAAAAGATCAATGAAACCAAGAGCTGGTTCTTTGAAAAAATAAATAAAATAGACAAACCCCTAGCCAGGCTCACAAAGGAAAAAAAGGGAGAAAGCACAAATACACAGATCCATAAATGAAAGAGGAGAAATCACAACGGACACAGCAGAAATCAAAAAATAATCAGTAACTACTATGAACAGTTATATGGAAACAAGTTCAACAATCTAGAGGAGATGACAAATTCCTACAACTCTACAATCACCCAAAGCTAGATAAGAAGAAATAGAACACCTAAACAGACCAATTACAAGCAGCGAAATTGAAATGTAATTAAAAACCTCCCCAAAAACAAAAGCCCAGGACCTGATGGATTTACAAATGAATTCTACCAAACATTCAGAGACGAATTAGTGCCTATCCTTCACAAACTCTTCCAAAAAATTGAGAAGGAAGGGGACAATACCAAACACGTTCTATGAAGCCAATATTACACTAATACCAAAACCGAATAAGGACAACACAAAAAAGGAAAACTATAGGCCAATCTCCCTAATGAACACTGATGCAAAATCCTCAATAAAATTTTAGCTATCAGAATCCAACAATGTATCCATAAGATAATTCACCACGACCAAGTGGATTCATTCAGGGGCCAAGGATGGTTTAACATCCGAAAATCAATCAACGTTATCCAACACATCAACAAAAAGAAATATAAACCATATGATAAATCAATAGATGCTGAGAAAGCTTTCGACAAAGTGCAACACCCATTCATGATAAAAGCCCTTGAAATTCTTGGGATACAGGAACATACCTCAACATCATAAAGGCCATCTATGACAAGCCAACAGCCAGTATCATTCTCAATGGTGAAAGCTGAAAGCAATTCCATTAAGATCTGGAACAAGACAAGGATGTCCACTCTCACCACTGCTTTTCAATATAATACTGGAAGTCCTAGCCAGAGCAATAAGACAAGAGAAAGACATCCAAGGAATCCAAATAGGAAAAGAAGAAGTCAAACTATCACTATTTGCAGATGATATGATAATATACATAGAGAACCCCAAAATCTCCACAGAAAAACTAATTCAACTCATCAATCAATTTCAGTAAAGTGGCAGGATACAAAATCAACACGCAAAAGTCAGTAGCCTTCCTAAACACAAACAATAAATCTGAAGAGAGAGAGCAATCAAAAACCACCCCCCTTTATTATCGAAACAAAAAAAAAAATCAAATATTGGGAATAAATCTAACAAGAGGTAAAAGGACCTATACAAAGAAAACTATAAAAACACTGTTAAAAGAAATAGAAGAAGACACAAAGAAATGGAAAGACATCCCCTGCGCATGGATTGGAAGAATAAACATTATTAAAATGGCCATCCTACCAAAGCAATATACAGATTCAATGCTATTCCAATCAAAATCTCAATGGCATTCTTCAAAGAAATAGAACAATTATTGATGAAATTCATATGGAATCACCAAAAACCCCGAATAGCCAAAGCTCTACTGAAAAAAAAGAAGGAAATGGAGGCATCACACTCCCAGACTTCAACTATACTACAAAGCCATAATCATCAAAACTGCATGGTATTGGAACAAGAACAGACATACAGACCAATGGAATCGAATAAAAAATCCAGAAATAAAC